GTATGTATGTATGTATGTATGTTTGCATGTATGTTTGTATGTATGTATGTATAAATAATTATGTATTTATATATAGGTCCTATGTATGTTTGCATGTATGTTTGTATGTATGTATAAATAATTATGTATTTATATATAGGTCCTATGTATGTTTGCCTTTGTATACCAAATTGTCTTCTGGGATTAAATAAAATTTAATTTTTTAAATTTAATTATGTGTAAGGTGTAAGGTATAGAGACTTCATTATGTTATTATAACTGTTTTGTCGTGCACCTTCATACAACTGTGCCCACTCGACTTTACTCTTCAACATTCACGATTTCTCCCACTATTCACTGTAATTCGAAACATGGCAGAGCGATTCGAATCCCGTGTGATTTTTACGGACAATTAATTTTTGTTTCATTTTTCTCAATTACAGCCAGTCGTAAAATTAAACCATGAAATAATAATAGATAGCATTTGATTTGCGCAAATCCCCGCTCAACAGCAGGCTCTATGCGCTTCACAATCTATACTATAACCCTAGCAGACCTGAGAGCATTCTGAAACTTTCTTCTTCTTCCTCCTCTTTCTGGTATTCTGAAACAACCTCAGCTTCCTGTGAAGCATACAGCGCAAGCGGCCATTTATAGACATTAAAACAATAACATACTGACAAGATCTTTCGCTGTCTATGGCCGGGTACCCATTCCCACCAGGGTGAAGTGAGGAAAATTCGTGTAAAGTGCCTTTCCCAAGGACACAACGTCGGGCTCGCGGTTCGAACCCCCGACCCCGTAACCTCACGATTACGAGTCCGGTAGCCTAACCACTAGGCCACCGACGCCACAAATACCATTACATCCAAACATTCTAACACCATTGAGGTAAATACATAACTACTTTGTAGGCTACTTGATGGTTGACAGAGTGACAGGTTGATCCAACTAGAGTTCTTACGTAGTCTAATAATACACGTAAATCTATAGCCTACAAAATGAAAAAAGGAGTGCTTGTTTGGGCTCCATATAGCTCAAATAAGGTCACCGGGGGGAAAAATTGGCAAAAGGTATTCGAACAGCTGGAATAGTGGGCTTCACGTTTCCAAGAACCAATGACGTTTCGTTTCCTCAAAATCGCGCAGCACTTCTCTTTCAATGATCAATAAAGCACAATTTTGTATTTATTTATTTCCCAAGACCGTCTCCTAAATTCTGACGATGAGAAAGTGAAACGTTTTCACTAATTCAGGCAATACCGGGGTTTTATTTTAAAAGACAGTACATCAATTTGGTAAAATATTCAAAAGAGCACCAAAAAAAAAGAAAAAGAAAAAGAAAGAAAAAAAAGAAAACCCCACATCTTTGCCTCTCGACAGCTAGGCACTTTAAACACTATCTTTAAACACTTCAATATTACTTTAAACTTTTCCCTATTTACCAAACTATGGCAGAAATGGGCGCCGTTTTTTAAATAATCAGTTGGAACGATATCGTTTAAAATAAAACTCCAGAATACC